GAGTAGATTAAATATAGCGCCGGTAATTTGCGAACGGTTGGCCTGCGGTTGTCCGTGTTTGGGATCCCTGTCCTGGTGTAGCAAGTTAATCCTTTTGTTGGGGAAGGGGGGGGGGGGGGGATTCTGGAAGTGTTTAATTGGCGTGTTGGGGGCTATTTATAGCAACTCTAGGGGCGTGGTGTACTCTTGTGTCCCTACAGCTGTACCTGTCACTTTACATGTCACTCTACCTGCGACCGATACCTATGACAGATACCTGCGACAGATACCTGCGACAGATACCTGCGACAGATACCTGCGACAGATACCTGCGACATCTACCTGTGACATCTACCTGCGACCGATACCTGCGACAGATACCTGCGACAGATACCTGCTACCGATACCTGCTACCGATACCTGCGACAGATACCTGCGACAGATACCTGCGACAGATACCTGCGACAGATACCTGCTACAGATACCTGCGACCAAACCAGCCTTCAGCCATTATACCTGCACACACCATACGTCATACAACACACAACATACACGTATTACGTTCGTCATACATCACTACAACTACAATTTACAACCACCCCTCCCCCAAGCCCCCCCCCCCCCCACCAGCACATCACCAGCCACCAAACGACAGCCCCGATGCCAGACACCCCCCCCCCCCCCAGTGCCAGACCCCACAGTGCCAGCCTGGGTCTACCAAATGATAGGTTCTGCCAATCAATACAATTATGTTGTCCCATACAAAATAAAAGAGTATTAAAAAATATTTATTGTAAATCAACCCCCCAATGTATCGTGAGCAGGGGACATAACTCACTGAGCAAGGGACATAACTCACTGACTGTAGTTACAAACAGGTTAGAGCTAGAGGTGCCATGGGAAATAACCAGCGTTGGTAACATATGTTAGCGGTAGATGGGAAGATAACCGTGTTTTGACGCAGATTTATCTGCCCATTGCAGTTCCGCTGGGGCGGTTGTTCCAACCAAACTCCATTCATGACATTGTAATGACACATCCTGTCATGCGCAAACTCCATTCATGACATTGTAATGACACATCCTGTCATGCGCAAGCACCATCCCCCGTATTGACCTACCCCAATATTGACGTTCTCAGTCACAAACTAAAAAGTTGGACCAAATCGTTTTACCGTACACAGCTCAATGACTACAATCTTGACTAAATTACGTCACTATAACACAAGACAGATTACTGTAAACTTATTCAAAACATGGTGTTTAAAATACTGGATAATTTTCGTTTTTTTTTCTGAAATCAAGCGTTTATTATATTTTATTTTAGCACAGTGTTGACTGTAGTATGTTGTTGCAAAATTTTTGTTCTTTCAATCGTATTTTGATCCATTGAAACTTTTTTCAACGGTATCTTCAGAGAGAACTTTCGCGTCAGATACCTTTCTATACGCAGAGAACTGTTGCTACAGATACCTTTCGATGCACAGATAACTGTTGCGTCAGATACCTTTCTATACGCAGATAACTGTTGCGACAGATACCTTTCTATACGCAGATAACTGTTGCGACAGATACCTTTCTTTACGCAGAACTGTTGCGTCAAATACACCAACATTCCGAAAGCTGATACTTCTAAAAACTTCGGACAGTGGTTTCTAGTGAGCCTCTATTTTTAGATCTGACAGTCGTTTAAGTTAGTTGTTATAGTAGTAGTTTATATTTTATTATGGTAAGTGGATTTTGTGATTTGGTTTTTGGTGGGATGGTTTAAAGTGTGGTGTGTATAAGATTAGCCGGTCGGTTGTAGTTTGTTATTTTTTTTTTGTGAGGATGTTAAGTGTTTTGGTCAGGTTAGAAAAATTTTGTAAGATTTGTTGTTTTATTAATATTATTTTTTTACTTTCTCGTATAAAGAGTATAGAGGAGGTATTGTAATCGTGCACAAAAATCACATGAAATTCTATTCTGTTTTTAAAAGTTTAAGTAATGAAAAATTGATTAAAATCCTGTCCATATCCCCAGTTGCATTCTCCGTCGTGTTTCATAAGAATATTCGAGAAAGTTTAGGGGAGATCACTCCTGCTTTATTTCATGTGTTATCTTGATTTGGTGTTTTGATGGATTTTTGTTGTTGAAGTGCTTTTGTTCTGACAGTTGTATTTAGCAAATGATTGGTCAATAGAGGCCACTTTGGTTTCCATTGACTTCAGTAAATTAGACCAAATGACTCAGCAATTTAGATAGCATATTATTCAAACCACTTTGATGAAATTCTACTCATTATGAAATAAGTAATTAACCTTTAATTAATTTAACTTTTAGTGACTGTTTATGTCGTCATAAAGTTGCCAGGTATTCGTGTCATTAATTAAATTTTCCAGCCGTCCTATCTGGCCGGTAATCTCGCGGTTTATCTCCCCTTGATCTGCGGACCTGGACGTGTGGGCCAATAACCAGCCAACACCCCCCCCACCCTCAACCACCCCCCCCCACCCTCAACCACCCCCCCACCCAACCCTCAACCACCCCCCCCCCCCCACCCCACCCTCACCCACCCCACCCCCCCCCCCCCCCATGCTAACGTGCACTTTTAGGGCCACTCATGGCGGGCCACACAACACACTTGATTGCATAGGTTGGCCAGTAATTAGAAAAGTCGGATGGCAATCTCTCGACTAGAGGGACATAATCCGAGTACCCTGGAAGAGGAGGTTAGAATTAACGCCGCTTTCAAATAGACTTTTAGCAGCACGTGAAAAAATTGTGGCTGTATTCCGTATTGATTTGACTGTTGATGTTTCTCCATAACTAACTTAATATACCTTCTGTGATCAAATTTGACGAAATGTTTAACAGGGTAACAATGGATCTAAATAGCAGTTCAATTTTAATTGTAATTAAAAATTGTTATCTATATAAGACATGTTTTCCCTTTCTTCGTGTATAGTTTTAATTTAAGTGATACAGTAAGGTAACTAAATTCAGTGTCTAGCACTGGACGTCTTTAATGAATGCAAGAATCGGTCAGAACGTATTTTGGTGCCTAAATCCCCACCCCTTATAGACGCGCGCGCACACACACACACACATACACACACACACAAAGAAGCACACTCACCGATCCCCAACACACACACAAATACACACACAACTACACACACAACTACACACACAAATACACACACAAATACACACACATATACACACAAATACACACACATATACACACACAAATACACACACAAATACACACACAAATACACACAAATACACACATAAATACACACACAAATACACTCACAAATACACACTTCCAACTTACATCATGTAATCTATGAATTAGTTTTACCCTTTAGCAGTAAAGGATCCCTTTGGTAAAGATTTAAAATAGTCCTAGAATCTAGTTTCAACCGTGCCATTCAGATACTTCATTTTGGTTGAGCAGATATTCTCAGGCAAGTATTGCTAATCAATTTAAAAAAAAAAAAGTAATTGATTAAGATATGAATTAAATAATTAGTGATCGATAATTATTGCTTCCAATCTTGTTTTATTGGCTGACTAAAAAACCCGGAAGTCAAGATGGGACCTGTGCCACTTGAATTCCCCGCCATAAAGCAGACACGTGCACGCTGTTAACCTGCTCACAGCTAACGGTCCTTGTGGTGACGTCATCAATTAGCTCAACTCTTGCTAGGCAATCATACTCGCGCCCCGCTAAAATTATTTCTCCTGTTCGTTCTACAATGGCCAGGCATTTATCTCTTATGGCCAGTTTATGGCCTGTTTATGGCCAGTTTATGGCCCTCCGCGGCGTGGCCATGAATATGACGGTGGGTGTGACGTGAGTTTGGCCAACACGTCGGGTGGCCAGATCAATGTGAGTACATCTCGGCGCTAGGTTGTTAACTCCGTCTTTACGGCCAGGAGATTTCCTTGTTTCATTCGGAATGGTTTTTTTTTCTATCGCCATTTGTGTTCTATGTCTCATAATTTTTGTGAAGGCATCCATATATATATATATATATATATATATATATATATATATATATATATATATATATATATTGTGTGTGTGTGTGTTTATGTATTGAAATGTAACGGCCCAATAAAATATATATTGTCAAATTAGCATAAGATATGGGTATATGTAGTATATATCTTCTCATAGTATTTATAACAGCGTCTATATTCTATGTGGTACCGTGATCGTCTCTACTGTCTGGTAGATGGAGTAGAGTACAGATGCAGTATCAGGACGTGAGTAGAACAGTTGTTTTTAAAAGTTCAAGGTAAAACTATTGAAGAAGTGGCGGCTTGATGGGGGTCTTGAAGCTCGTTACCTGAGGACAGCAGTATATATATATATATATATATATATATATATATATATATATATAGGAGAGACAATCCTATACCTGGGGACAGCAGTATATATATATATATATAGGAGAGACAACCCTATAGCTGGGGACAGCAGTATATATATATATATATAGGAGAGACAACCCAATAGCTGGGGACAGCAACCCTTCTAGGAGAGACAACTCGATAGCTGGGGACAGCAAAATACTTCTAAGGAAGAAAAACAACAACTGCTGCCTTGTAGTTCGTTCTTGGATGGACAAGGACCATGGAACCAAACCCAGACATAAAATCAAGCTGTATTTGGACACTAACAACTAGCCTAAAAGACCGGGATGTTGCAGACGACATAACTCTACCAGCCTGCAGTCAAAAAGATAGGCGAGAAAAACTAAACTGACCCATTTATTTTGCCAAGTCAAAGTTTCCACATATCTAGGCAGCGTCGTCAATTATGGCGGAAACTGCACCGCTGTAATTAAAACCTTCTTTAAAGCCAAACAAGCCTTTACAACCATGCAAAAAAACATGGCGCTCGAAGAAAAACTCCTCCAAGACTAAATGCAGACTTTTCAAAAATTAAGTCCTTAGCATCGCCTAACACAACAAATAATAAGAACCACTGACCAGAAAAATATAGATAAATTGCCACAAATCATGAGAACCACTGACAAGAAAAATATAGATACAATGCCACAAAACATGAGAACCACTGACAAGAAAAATAAAGATTCAATGCCACAAATCATGAGAACCACTGACCAGAAAAATAAAGATTCAATGCCACAAATCATGAGAACCACTGACAAGAAAAATATAGATACAATGCCACAAAATATGAGAACCACTGACAAGAAAAATATAGATACATTGCCACAAATCATAAGAACCACTGACCAGAAAAATATAGCTACAATGCTACGAATCATGAGAACCACTGACCAGAAAAATAAAGATTCAATGCCACAAATCATGAGAACCACTGACCAGAAAAATATAGATACATTGCCACAAATCATGAGAACCACTGACCAGAAAAATATAGATACATTGCCACAAATCATGAGAACCACTGACCAGAAAAATATAGATACATTGCCACAAATCATGAGAACCACTGACCAGAAAAATATAGATACAATGCCACAAAACATGAGAACCACTGACAAGAAAAATATAGATACATTGCCACAAATCATAAGAACCACTGACCAGAAAAATATAGCTACAATGCTACGAATCATGAGAACCACTGACCAGAAAAATAAAGATTCAATGCCACAAATCATGAGAACCACTGACCAGAAAAATATAGATACAATGCCACAAATCATGAGAACCACTGACCAGAAAAATATAGATACAATGCCACAAATCATGAGAACCACTGACCAGAAAAATATAGATACAATGCCACAAATCATGAGAACCACTGACCAGAAAAATATAGCTACAATGCCACAAATCATGAGAACCACTGACCAGAAAAATATAGATACATGGCCACAAATCATGAGAACCACTGACCAGAAAAATATAGATACATTGCCACAAATCATGAGAACCACTGACCAGAAAAATATAGCTACATTGCCACAAATCATGAGAACCACTGACCAGAAAAATATAGATACATGGCCACAAATCATGAGAACCACTGACCAGAAAAATATAGATACATTGCCACAAAACATGAGAACCACTGACCAGAAAAATATAGATACATGGCCACAAAGCATGATAACCACTGACCAGAAAAATATAGATACATTGCCACAAAACATGAGAACCACTGACCAGAAAAATATAGATACATTGTTACAAATCATGAGAACCACTGACCAGAAAAATATAGATACATTGCTACAAATCATGAGAACCACTGACAAGAAAAATATAGATACATTGCCACAAAACATGAGAACCACTGACCAGAAAAATATAGATACATGGCCACAAAACATGAGAACCACTGACCAGAAAAATATAGATACATTGCTACAAATCATGAGAACCACTGACAAGAAAAATATAGATACATTGCTACAAATCATGAGAACCACTGACCAGAAAAATATAGATACATGGCCACAAAACATGAGAACCACTGACCAGAAAAATATAGATACATTGCTACAAATCATGAGAACCACTGACCAGAAAAATATAGATACATTGCTACAAATCATGAGAACCACTGACCAGAAAAATATAGATACATTGCCACAAAACATGAGAACCACTGACCAGAAAAATATAGATACATAGTCACAAATCATGAGAACCACTGACCAGAAAAATATAGATACATAGTCACAAATCATGAGAACCACTGACCAGAAAAATAAAGATTCAATGCCACAAATCATAAGAACCACTGACAAGAAAAATATAGATACATTGCCACAAATCATAAGAACCACTGACAAGAAAAATATAGATACATAGTCACAAATCATGAGAACCACTGACCAGAAAAATATAGATACATAGTCACAAATCATAAGAACCACTGACCAGAAAAATATAGATACATAGTCACAAATCATGAGAACCACTGACCAGAAAAATATAGATACATAGTCACAAATCATGAGAACCACTGACCAGAAAAATAAAGATTCAATGCCACAAAACATGAGAACCACTGACAAGAAAGTGAGCAACATTCTCCATGTCTACACACATTTAAAACGCCCCATTCCAACAGTCTTAATTTGGACCAATCACAATCAACGTCACAAAAATAAAGGTCACGTGTTCGTTAACTCCATTAGGACAGGAGAATTTTATTGTAAGTGCTGCAAATAAAAGCTCGACGTCCACTTGGGGGACCTAAAGAATTTTATTGCCCGCCCCACGGAAACTTTGTAGCCATGGCTTATTATATTGTTTCTAAATATAGCACCGCTCAATGCGACTGTTGTACATGGGCCCACCGTGGTCCACCGTAGCACCGAACTGTTAATGGTCCGTTAACGGCCCGCCGCCCGCCTCGCTTAGCGTGAGTGGGTTAAGAGTGGTTTGTAAATATACCACCAGCACACCTTGGTGAGATTTGCCAGGATTTTTTTGTGTGGTATTCAGTACAACCGGCATAGTCAAACCAATCGTTTTGCCTTCAATACGACCTTGACCTTTCTGTAGTCGTGTGCTACAGTATCAGTATCGAATCCTGCAAAGTTTCGCAGGTATCGAATCTCGCAAAGTATCGCAGGTATGGCAACGGACCTGTGAATTATTGGACGTCAATTTATCCGTTTAGCTGAACAGATTTTACTTTAAAAACTCTTGGGTCAGAAATTTAACTTCAGCTAAAATGTTAGGTAACAGATTTAACTTATTAAAACAATCGTATTAATAAATTTAATACTCGAACTAATGCTTAAATATACTTTTAGTGAAGTCTAATTTACAAATTAGACCTGAGTTAAGAAGAGCCTTAATTTTAATTATAGTTATTTTATTTAAGAATAAGCCTAAACAACCTGCCCACTACAAAAATATAACCATTTAAACCACTAGTTCAAAACCAAAAGACTGAATTGAACGTTTTGATTGGTAAAAGATGCTAAGTTTTATTAAACACATAAAAATTAGCTCTATGCACTAGGTATATCATTGATATTATAAAAATGTATAAGGTGAATGATTACATGAACAATGTGGCTATGATCTGTAAATTTATTTTTTCTTTAAAATTCCGTTGCAACTCTTTACATTAGGTAGTTAAATATTAAATATTAGCACATAAATATTAGACATAATTCACCAAATACTTTAAAGATGTTTGTTCTTTTACTTTAGCCACTCTATACATACTGGTGAGGCGAACATCGTATAAATATAAGTGGCGTGGGTATCTTTCGTGTTCCGTTTGATAAAGAGAATGGGGTGTTGGTGATAAATGCGTTTTTTTACATTTTTTATATTTTTTAAATCTTGTATGTTCAACACTGTGTTTGTAGAATTTAACTTTCTATTTCCTCCTTATTCCAATATTTTCGATTTAAACAGGACAAACTTTTTAATTAAATCACAAGAAATTTTAATCCTGGGTAGGTGTGACCAAAATCAATTTAAACTGAGTTTAATGATATACAAAGTAATGACGTCATTTCATCAAACAGATAGATCTACTCTCTAAATCTTGCCTTGAAGTCTATTATTAGGGCTAGGGAGATGAAATATGCTCTATGAAGACCTCAGACAAATAATTTGTCTTGTTTTAATGTCGTAGGGCAAGGTAATTTCTTTCGTTACAATACGCGTCATAATTCTTCACATAAAAATAATTACAAATAGAATATTTGATTAAAAAAACTGCTTCCTTTCAAGTACGTAAAAAAACAATTACTGTATGTGATGTTAGTGATTTAAACATACGTAACAAAATAGGTCAAGCATGTTCAATTTTAATTAACAACAATTTACTCACCAAGTTTAGAAAATGTATCCTTTTGTCCAACAACTGCCCGAAATAGATTCGGGAAAATCCAGTTTTTTTTATAGATCTTTAGTAGTTAGATTTGTTGGTGTTTGAATTGATCTCTAATTATTCTGTTTCTTGCTGTATGTGGTAAAGGCTGCGTCATTCAATCGCAGATAGTTATCTACCTGTAGCAAGAATAAATACAAGATGACCATTTTTAGTTACAATTTAATTAGGTCAAGACAATTAATAGCAGTCTGTAAGTGGTATGGTATGTACAACATCCGTTTGAAAACATCTATACACAGTAATCTATACAAACGTAGATGTTACAAGTTGTTTAAAAAAATTGTCATCGTATGTTGGTGTAGTCACAAGTAGTAAAATAAAAAAGCTCAAGTGATTCTGTAGATTCTAAAACTCAAACATTAAAATAGTTTGTTGACCAATCAGAATTTAAGGTCAGTGTACTGGACACTGCCCTAGTAGTTCGTCCCACGACCACCCCAACCCCTGTCCGGTCAGTTCGTCCCACGACCACCCCAACCCCTGTCCGGTCAGTTCGTCCCACGACCACCCCAACCCCTGTCCGGTCAGTTCGTCCCACGACCACCCCAACCCCTGTCCGGTCAGTTCGTCCCACGACCACCCCAACCCCTGCCCACTGTACTGTGTATGATCTTATAAGTTTTGGCATCGTCTGAACGTGTCTAGAACCCACACCCGACAATATGTCGCAGTGTGGTGACACTACAGTACTAGCCGTCACGTGACTACAGTCCACACTTGCCATCACGTGACTAAGTTTACACTTGCCATCACGTGACTAAGTTTACACTAGCCATCACGTGACTAAGTTTACACTTACCATCACGTGATAGGCTAACAGATCGGGTTAGATTAGTCAACATACCGCTGCCCTAAGCTTTAAAGTGTAACAACAAATCCTCCATTATCCCCCACCTATACAAGCTTGTCCACATATACACAAACACACAGAGTCGAAACATTCAAGAAAACTTATTTTCAAAACTTTTCCGTTGCAATATTTTGTTGCAAGGTGAAGTCAAACATTTAAACTATAAACAAAAACATAAATTAGTTGGATATAAATTTTATAAATAGACAACCTGTGACAGTGAACCTGTGAGAGGGAACCTGTGACAGGTCTATTGTCACAGAAATGTCGTCTGAAAGATTGTGTAGCAGAAACTTGCAGACGACATCAACGGTTAGTTTTTATCTACCTCATACTATCGTCTGCACCCGGCGTGGTGGAGTCGGTAAAGCTCATGGTTGCTAAACCGAAAAGTCTCGAGTTCAAACCCTCGGGCAGATGAGGCTCGTTAGCTGGGGACAGCCACTCTTCTAGGAGAGACAACTCCAAAATTAAACAACTGCTGCCTTGTAGATTGTTCTTGGTTGGACAAAGGCTATGGAAGCAAATCCAAAATGAAAAGCAGGCTGAAATCGGAGTCAATGGGCTCAATGGCGCATAACCAGTTGACACGTAACGCTTAATTGTGTTGGAGGCGTGGTCGAGTCGGCAAAAAGCTCATGGTTGATAAATTCGAACAAAGTCTCGAGTTCAAACCCACTGGCAGATAAATCTCGATCCCCTTCAACACTAATAATTAAGAACGAAGAAGAAGAAGAGGTCTGCACCCAGACAGAACCGTTGACCTCTAAAGTTCAATGACCTTGACACGAGCAATCAACTTAAGCCATTAGGATCAAGGTAGAGGTAAGTCAATAAAATTCTTTGATTTGACATTCAGCACTGCTATTTCTAGATTTGACATTTTAGTGCTACTACCTGTAAAACTATATACATATATATATATATATATATATATATATATATATATATATATATATATATATATATATATATATATATATATATATATATATATATACACATACAAACGTACATATATGATATACAGTTGTTTTAATGTCTAATATGTGAGTTGCAGAAATAGCTTTTCCAATTGTAATGTAAAAGATTATAATAGGATAAACTAGCATGCTCATCATTAGTGGTATGATACAAGTACATCACCATCACGGCTAAAGCTAGAGCATTAGATATACAACATACATAACACAGAGACTAGATACATACAGATACTTCAGAAACATGGGGCCTACAGATACAACAACTATTAGCACAAACTGTAGATTTCTATAAACAAACTTTCTTGTAAGATCACATTTTTAAAAACTGAGTTTGTGATGAAAGGGAAGTAACTCTAAAAACATTTGCATGTAGAGCTTACACGTTAGTACACAATCTAGGTGTACTTGATATAACACTTTAGTAATACACAAATACACGAAGTGTACAGTGAATCTATAACATTACAATACATAATGTAAATATTGTTAAAGTACACCTTTGATTATTTAATGCATTTAGTTTCTACTTCAAGACTTCAACAAAGCGACTGGACAAACTCTCAAGTAACTACCACTATCGTGTTTTGTTACTTACAGCTAAACATTAATGCTCTAGATTTGATTTCAAACGTGTGTCATTTCGCAATGTTTTCCAACTTTAATGTTGACTTTGTATCGTCCTTTTTATTCAAATAGTTTTTGTAATTTTTGAAAACTGTAGTCTTAAAATAAGAATGGTATGTTAATTAACTGGGTTTGAAGACAATAATTTCGTCGAAGTATATTGGATGTGGAGGGAGATAATATGAAGCCAAAATATTAAATGATGATGTCATTGTAAAACAAAATCTATTCAATCAAATTGAATTTATGATCAAAATAATTCAACGGGAAAGTTAGTATCCTCACAAATTAAAGGCAATAACAGGTACAA